GGGGTGGGAAAGAGGGGGGGAGGTCGACCCCTCCTCGCTCGACGGCAATTTTGGAGGAAAAAGTGGGCGGAGTTGGGCTGTGTCGACTGGTCTCAGAATCAATACTATAGAATCGCCCCCATGATGGCGATGGAGGGGGGGGGTCGTATCGAGGCCCTCTAAAAGGAGGGAGGGGTCGTAAAATTTTCGAAATTGGTGCAACGCGACGGTTGACCCTGGATGGAGAAGAGATTGTGTGAAAGAGCGTGTTTTGTGGTTTTCGTAGAGTATCTCTTCGGGGAAACGCATCGTACTTTCCACCACAAATAGGCCTTTTGCTCACTCACGGAAGGGAAAGCTCTGCCGGGACTTTTGAAGGTGATATTTCCATCGAAGGCTGATCTATATGACCTCTGACTTGTGGAGATTTTGTGTCTACGAGCTTGCCACGACACGAATCAAGGATATACCTGCTGGGTTTTGGCGCTCACATCATGTTATCTCCATCTAGGGAAGGTGGCGCAAGTGACCATGAATTTGAACTGTTGCTCTACTTTGTATCTGCTATGTCTGACGACAACAACGTATGTGTCATAACCATTGAGGGGTTTCAAGAGAAAATGCAGAGATGTGTCTCGAAACTATTCCTCTTAGATGCTCTACGTTTCTTATAATGCGACATTGCTTTGACGTCAACATGGCATTCTTAAACTCCAATTCAGATCTGACCGCTTTTCGTTGTATAAGCAAACTCACCTATTAAAGGGATCCCGGAGAATGATCCGCGACCTCTTCTGTTCGCCGACATACTGAATTTCGGCATATCTTCAACGATGGCGAGCAAAATCACAGACATACTCATCAACGTCATAATACCCAAACGGAACTTGGCGTCCCTGAAAACGATGTGTCAGAGTTTTTGCTGGAAAATATCGTTTTGACACATCAGCTAAAGCGGCTCGTGTCAAAAAAGATATTGCACTTGGAGTGAGCGGTCATCGTCCGCGAAAGCTGCTTATCGAAACGGAAAGGCTGGTGCTTCCGGCTGTTTTACTTCCGGTATTTCGCCATATTTTTCATGGTAAATTGAAAAAGCTTGAGAAGAACTTGCAACGTTGTTTTTGCAAGTTCTTTATTTTAGCCCTGGTTTAGCCGGTAAAGTGATAGTTATTTAACTTATTTTAGTTCTACACTAATGAGGTGCGTTACGGTGTGCAAGTCAAGCAAGTGGGGTGGGAATCTTCACCTGAACCTAGGAGAGGCAAACAAACTCCGAGGGTGAACCGTTTTCACGACGTTGGAAAAAGGTTCTTATTGCGCATTAAGAGAATTTGCCCATTAACCGTGTGGCTCTATCCCTTTCAAAATTCTCCTTGCGGCTCATAAAATTTTTTACAATAAAATAGACTGTTTGTCGAGGTTTCAAAGCTAATTTCGTACCTTCAGAGGACTGCTTGTGCAGAGGCTGCATCCGCTATCCCCCCCTCCCGCCGGTCCAACGAACTATGAGGGTCTTTTATTGTTTTGCAAATACGTATTGTTCCTCATTTCCGCACTTGTTTGCGTACGCCCAATTATTCACATTGAGATATATGCAGTTTCTCAGGGCGATTTTTTGATAAAACAAGGAAAATTTAAAGTGATTTTTTGTTTGCGTAGCCTAGGGTGAGAATAGGATAGGGCCTCACAATTGAGATTACCGTAATCCGCACCAAATATCACAACAAACTGCGCTCCTCATCGCGAACTCGGTGATTTCTTTGTTTCGGAAATATTCTTAGGCGCACATCTTAACGTATTGCTTAAAGGCAAAAGTCAGGCTCGTGTTTCGGCATTATGGCACCTGATATTGAGTTTAGAGATGGGAGGTGGAACGATAGTGAAGAAAAAACGAAAAAAAAAAAAAAACTGTCGACAACACCTAAATAGAAACCCATTCCTTCTAGCAGTGAAGGAGGCTTGCTCGGGGGAGAGTCACGTCCAAACGAGTTTTCTGGATATGCCAGCCGTTCCATCGGTTGATACGGCAATCAACCTAGCTGATCTCACACGTTAGGCCAGCCACGCACCACATCCCATCTGTGCCTTCGCTTGTCGCGACAGCGTCACACCCCCTCTGCTTGGAGACCCCACTTTCGCACCCTATAAAGGACTTCCTCATGTTCCCTAATCCTGACTCGTGGCTTTAAGTGACATCAGCCCCAGATGAGGTGCTCCTTTAGATGTTAGGTGATGAGATATCGAAAGTAGTCTAAGAAAAGGGTTGACGGTGTGACCAAAGGTTGCGCACGGTGGGTTCAGTTCCCGCACAGCCAACAGAACATTTGGTTTTTACGCCATCGTTTTCCAAGCAAGGACCTGTCTCAGATATTACTAGAAATACAGGGAAGTAGATGATTTGGAAGCGTAGTTGTATAAATCAGGGATGCTGAAGCGCTTCTTCAACTCTGAAGAGAAAGTGAGTGCATGGCGCATCTCAATGCAATAGATCGATGCAAGCTACTTTACCCTTTTGTCTGCATACACTCTTGGGTATGGCATTACACTACGTAGACCATATTGCGCCCCAGCAGTTTCTCTCAGAAAAGGGTGCAGAGCCATTTTTTGTTATCAGACCTGCTACTGAGTGTGCCGCGACCAGTGTGTTCCATCATGCTTATTTGTTCCTATGAGGTAGGTATCATAAAATAAAATTATGACCCTCACTGAGAAGCACCCAATATAACCCCTGTTACTGGAAAATTTGCATCCATAGGTATAATACGG